TATCGCTTCGTCTGTGAGACGTTAGCAAGGGTCATCATCAGCGGGTGGGCCTTCTTCCGGCCGTTCTCGCTCAGATGAGTGACGTCGCTGTAGAGGATGACCGCCCCAACGAACGCATCCTCACCGATCTGGCCTGCCACGATTACACGCGCAACAACGTAGGAAAATGGGGCAGGGAGGATAGGATTGCATGGTGCAGCTGCCTAATATTTGCCGTCAAATGAATGGCATGGGTCCAACGCATGGGACGGTTCACGCATTAGCAGGTGCGGGCATACCTGAGCGTCGTGCCACCATGTGCCCGTGTCTGGGGTGGAAAACTGCCGCTGTCCAGTGGCAGGGTCGCTGTCAATCCGTGGCCGAAGCATGAAGCCCTCCGCATTGTTCGGATTGCCGTAGATGTCAGCAAACGCCTGCGAGAGGAGGCACACGAGGCATACAAGCCAGAGTTAGGTCATGGCAAGCCTACGTATTAGGGGCAAAGGAGGCTTGACAGTGTTGGGGGCTGGAAATACGCCCCTAGTCACTCACTTGCGAGGCGTCGCGGAGGTGCATGGTCTGCGGCGGCTGGCCCTCGACCTGGAAAGTGACAGTGGACCATCCGCGCCCGAGGCCATCGAGTTGCTCCAGCTCGAATGCTTCCATCTCGCGGACATTGGTGTACTCAGAGAGCACACGCTGGGCCATCTCGGGGTGCATGAACAACTGCAGCAGCCGGTTGACATCAGCGTTGGCCATGCCAATGCGCCCGTTCACCTCCCGCACGAAGTGCAAAAAACGCAGCGCCGCGACGTTCAGCACTGGAGGCTGATCGGCCGTGGCCTGCAGCGGACGTGGAGCGTCTTCGAAGTCCCTGCGGACCTGCTCCTCTGCCCAGAAGCGTTCCTCCTCATCATTCTCCTCGCGGCTGGTGGCAGAGTCGCTTACGGTGGACGAAGTTTCGTCACCGTCGTCCGAATATGAGTCGGACTCAAGGTCTGGCATGTCGTCGTCCTCCTCGTCGACGGGACGTGCGTCGCGGATTGCATCTAATCCAAGGAATGGGTTATGCTCAGCGCCGCGCGCTGCCCGGGCCTGATTAGACCGGATGCCCCGGCGGCACAGGGGGTGGGAACCCCTGTGCTGGCCAAACGCCTGGGCATTGCGAAACGAACGATCGCAGAACTCGCAAGTGACTGGAGTAGATGACCTCATGCTGGGCATCCAGGTCCTAGAGAGCCATTGTCTAGACCGATAACGTGGGTAGCACGTTTCAGAATATATACTAGGTCTAGCACGGATACACTAGGGCGCGTGAGCCTAGGCACGTTCCGTGTCGCCCACAGCGCTCCACGGTGGTCACTCTTAAGTGGTGTCGCACAGCTAGATACGTGGAGGCAATTCGACTAGGGGAATGAGCTGCGCGTGATTCGGGGATCACTCCAACGTGGTGTCGCACATCCAGGTTGGTTTGAATGTCTATGACTAGCCAGAGTCGAGCAGCGCGCTTCTCGGTGGTCACACCTGTGTGGTGCCGCGCAGCTTAGTGCGTGGTGGCTGTTAGACTAGCGGGGAAAAATTGCCCTAGCCTCTGCACAACAGCTGAGGAGTGACGCACAAAACAGATCTGTGGTTGTGGCAGGATTTCCGCTTCCAACCGATGCGCTGGCGCAATCGGACACGAGTATGGTTCGGGCGTGGGACATCGGGTCCGTTTCGCCCTGGTCAAGAATGATTGGGTGGTTTAGAGGCGGTTTTGATGTGGTAACGATTGTTGAATACGTGGTTGGACGCGGTACCTACCCAGCTTCGGAACGTGATATTGCCAACTGGACCTGTTGTCCCATACCCTTAGAGCGTGTTCAGAAAGCTCCGATGTCAGTAGTATATTGACGCCGACATCGGGGTCGGGGTACTCTGAACGAGCTTTTCGCGTTTCCAATTGAGACACGAGTGTTGAGCCTGCTGATGTTGCGTTGTACAGCAATGTAGGATCGTCGTAACTGTTAAACATAATACAGTGCTCCAACTAGTAAGTGGAAAGGTATGAAATAGATACGTGGCAATCCGACCCATGCAATTCTATGCTCACACATTCGATTGGACCACAAATGATAGTGCTGTTGCATCTGCCCTATGTGGAAGGCTTCTCTACCACATTCCAACATTACGCTTTCCTAGGGTAATGGAGTGGCGTACAGTTCTCACTTTATCCTCATGACCTATTCCGATTGAAGTGGATGTCTATGCTTGCGCTGTAAATCGTGCACATGTATATGTTCAAAGTTTACAGCAATGCGCAAGTGCGCGCGGCAGGTTCTCTCGCTTCATATGGGCTAGAGGGTGGCTGAGACCAGATGGAGCAGCAATGCAACACTGGCCGCTGCGTCTCGGCAGTATACCGAGCTTGGGTTGCACGACGATTTGTTACGCCAGGTTAGGAGTGCCCTGGGCAGTGCACTGCACAAGACGTGACTGCTGGCCAAGTTTCACACCCTGTGTTGCACGTGCTTGGGAGACACGGCAGTTCGCGTATCTTGGTCGCTCGTTTCGTGCAGATAGAGAGAGGTCGATTGAAGAACGCTGCGGATTCGACGTCCCCGCGAGTTTTGATGCCGGGTTTGGAGTGGCCTGGGCGAAGCACACAACAAGAGGGTATTTATGGCCAATTCTCAGACCTTGCGCAGCACGTGCGTGAGCGTGACGGATGTCTCTGTGTCTTGGTCGCTCCTTTCGTCCAAGGAGAGAGGTCGATGGAAGAACGTTGCGAATTCGACGTCCCCGCGAATTTTGATGCCGGGTTTGGAGTGGCCTGGGCGAAGCACACTACAAGAGGGTATTGCTCGCCAATTTTCAACCTGCGCAGCACGTGCGTGAGCGTGACGGATGTCTGTGTCTGGTTGCTCCTTTCGTCCAAGGAGAGAGGTCGATGGAAGAACGTTGCGAATTGACGTCCCCGCGAAATTTTATGCGGGGTTTGGAGTGGCCTTGGCGAAGCACACTACAAGAGGGTATTGCTCGCCAATTTTCAGACCTGAGCAGCACGTGCGTGAGCGTGACGGATGTCTCTGTGTCTTGGCCGCTCCTTTCGTGCAAGGAGAGAGATTGATCGAAGAACGCTGCGAATTCGACGTCCCCACGAATTTTGATGCTGGGTTTGGAGTGGCCTAGGCGAATCACATTACAAGAGGGTATTGCTCGCCAATTTTCACACCCTGAGCAACACGTGCGTGAGCGTGACGGCTGTTTTCGTGTGTTAGTCGCTTGTTTCGTGCACGGACCGAGCGCATTTTATGAACGACGCGAATTCGATGTCCTGGTGGAATTTGGATCCTGGGTTTGGAGTGGCCTGAGCAAAGCACACCAAAACAACATATTGATGGCTAAGTTTCACATCGAGGGGTGCACGTGCATGAGCGTGACGGCTGTTTCCGTGTCTTAGTCGCCTGTTTAAGGCAAGGCATGGAGAGCACTTCAGGTTCGCTGCGAGATCGTCATCTTGATGATGCCAACTCATCTTTGCAAAGCATATGGACACCGCGTGTGCTGTGTTATGGCTCATGAACGCAATTTAATAGGGGATTGCTGGCCAATCCGCACAGACCGGGTCCTTATGGCGTACGACATCCTGCGCGAGTGGCTGGGGGGCTTGGCCTGGAGGTGCATTTACAAAAGTGTTGCCTTCTGGAGCGTGGGGTGGTGGACGGGGGCGGGGGCGGGGGTGTGACTGGGGGCGGCGACGAGGGCACGGTTGCGGATGAGGAGGGAACGCGGGCCGGCGCGAGGCTGGGGATGGGCATGTGGGCGTGGGCGCAGGCGCGTATGGACCCTGAGCTCGCGAGCGGGAGAAGTCCAAGACGGCAGACTATAAGGCATTGGTGCAGCGGCATCGGTGTGTGCAGTTTACTCCACACCGGGTGGCGAGGAGCAAGGGGGCGGGTGTTGGGAATGAGAAGTCTTTTGCAGCTTACTTGGTGGGGTCTCTATTTAGGATGCTATCGGCATGGCACTGCAGCGGGCCAAGGCACGGGTCATCTTGTTGCGTGCTGCTTCTATGATGGGTGGGCCTGACATTATGCGGGCGGATCAGGGGTTGGCGAGCGGAGGACGGGTGGGGGCCCGCGGGGGATGAACACTACCTGGTGGACCTGCACACTAACATGCAGTGCTAGTATTCATAGTATGTTGTCTAAGCATGTACAATAAATTACATTCCAGTGTACGCAAATTTGGGATACAACCATGTTCAAGCTTAATGCCCGGGCAAGAGCTCAATGCACTACAGTACAATAGGACGGGCTGTTCGTTGGCATCGACTACAGTGTAATGGTGGTGGTCTCAGCCAGGCTGGCGGACACTTGCGATTAGCGACAACTAGAAGTGCTGCTCACCGTTAGTTTAGAACCAATGGCTGGAAAGGTCTTTCCTGCGTTGTTGATGTCGCCATATTTTCCAATTGCGGAACACGCGTGAAAGAGTTCTGCCCAGGCAGTGCTGTACTGTTTTTTTAATCCAGGTTGTCGGGTGACTCTGCGTTGCACATGTCGGGGGGCAATTTCGACTGCCCATTCTCAAGTTCGCGTGCGAGTGTGCATTCTCATCGTTTAGCGGGCCTATCGTGTCAGTCGCCCGTTACCCAACCGCCCTTGATCGCAACGCCACGCCAGACCCTGTTCTGAAACCCTAAAAGAAAATATGCAACTATCCAACGCCCTGAAACACAGCCAGCGCGACCCCGACCGCGTGTGTGTGCGTTGCGGTTTTGGGGGGCTTCCCAAAACCAGTCTCACCAGTACTGTACACCAGCCCGAACCGAACCCTGCACTGCTGTCTTGGTGTGTGCGTGTCTGTTAACTGTGTTAGGACCAATGTGAGAGAGAGCTGAACCAGCACTGCTTAGATCGATCCACACAATTACAGCTTCTTCGTCCATCGAGGCAGTGGGAGGATAGACTAGACTCCTTCCTTCCTCCCTCTCCCACTCCATCCGTCACCCTGATAGCTCCCTAGTCATTCAACGGCAGTCCCTCACCCATCTCACGTTTTCCCGCCTTCGCTCGTCTCACGGTGGCCCACCCGATCGCCCTTTTCCTGCTGTCTGTCGTAACGGATCCCCACGTTCCCCCTGGCTGCACTCCCTTGGAGCACGCCAAGCCAGTAGCAGCGGCGCTCAAGGCGAGAGTGTCATAGTGCCAGGTCTCCCGCGTGCGTCTTGCCCTTGTGCACCGGCAATGAAAGGCGGCACCGTACCCAGACTTGTTTCACACCCACGATAGACGGCCATTCAAGGGCACGCATAGGCAGCGGCACGCGCGACGCACAGTGTGTGCTGAAAGGCCGCCTCGACACGTGTGGTGGCGAGCGAGTGGCGACCAGGACACGGAAGGCCGTGCGACGTGCCCGCACTCATTTGACGGGCGATGCGACGCCACCTTTGCGCGGCTCCGAGATCTATCCCCGCCACACCCCCGTTAGCGCCGCTGCAGGGCGAACGCATCTCCAGCGCCACGCATATCTCAAGCCGTGCATCGCCAGCGCCACGCATCGCCATCGCCACGCATCACCAGCGGCACGCCAGCAGCCAACGGCACGCATCGCCAGCGGCACGCATCGCCATAGGCACGCATCGCCAGCACCACTCGTCAGACTGCGCGGCACGTCTGACGCAGACATGGCGACACCATCCTCGGTTCGCTCCTCGTCGTGGCTCCTATCCCTACCCCCTTCCACACTCCCCTCGTCCTCCCTCGGCAAGACAAGGCCGTCGTGGCCCGTGTCGCCGCGAGCGATCGGCCCAGGAGGCGGGTGTGGAGCTGGCCTGGCCGTACATATGCAGCTTCCCTCCTTTGGATGCTAACACCAGTCCCTGCATTAGCTACCAACGACGTCATGGGGCACAAGCACAAGCGTCGGGGTGATAAGGCGGAGGGCACGCGCAAGCACAAGCGTACGCATGCTGATGCGCGACCGATGCAAGCGCTGCCAAGCCATCGTGAGGGGCAGCCACTCCAGCAGCATTCACTCCAGCAGCAGCCATTCGAGCAGCAGCCACTCCAGCAGCACCTTCTCCAGCAGCTGCTTCTCCAGAAGCAGCCTCTGCAGCAGCAGCCTCTCCAGCAGCAGCCTCTGCACCAACAGCCTCTGCAGCAGCAGCCTCTGGAGCAGCAGCCTCTGCAGCAGCAGCCTCTGGAGCAGCAGCCTCTGGAGCAGCAGCCTCTGCAGCAGCAGCCTCTCCAGCAGCAGCCTTTGCAGCAGCAGCCTCTCCAGCAGCAGCCTCTGCAGCAGCAGCCTCTCCAGCAGCAACCTTTGCAGCTGCAGCCTCTCCCGGTGCAGCCACAGCTTCAGAGCCAACTGCCACGTCACCACGGGGGCAGCGGCGTCCGTGCTGCAGAGGCCATCACCGACGCTCCATGTGCAGCGGCCGGTGAGGGGGGAGAAGACGAGGAGGGGGAAGGTGACAGCAACAGTAGCGAGAGCGAGTCCGGCGAAGAGGGCGACCAGAGGCACGCCCAGTCTGGCTCCGGCACGGATACCAGCTCCTCAGACTCATCTTCGGATTCTGAGTCTGCCGACGAAGCTAGCTCGGAGGGCGAGGCGGAGCAGTCTGCTTGCATGGGGCAGGCTGCGGTGGCCGAGACGGCGGCGGGCAAGAACGACGTTACTTTTGATAAGCTCTTCGCCTCCCCAGCTGAGGCGGCAGTGGCCGCTGTGGGGCAGAGCGATGGGTATGACATGGACGACGAGGACCAGCGTGCCATGAACAGGGGTCGCTACATGAAAATTGGAGCGGCGGGCGGTGCAGCTGGGGAGGGTGGGAAGATGAAGACGCGGAACGGCGGGCAACGGCAGAAGGCAGCCGGAGAGGCGGGCGACGTTAGGCAGGAACGGTCGGGGCGCGGACGCGGCAGGGCGGGCTCGCCCACACCGTCTGGTCGCCGTCTCCAAGAAGCGACTGGGAAGGCAAAGGGCTCCCGAGGTGAAGGCACGCCAGCGTCAGTTTGGGTGTCATCGTCTGTCTGGCTCGTGACGTTGTTACGTACACTTCATTGCCTGTTCTGTCCCTTGCTCTATGCCATACAGGCTTCTGCTATGCTAGAGCGTTGGCAGTGTTCATCGTGGTGCGCGGACTCATCACACTGCATTACAAACTCGCGGCACCAGAAATTGGTCCCTGTACCCTATGCATCCCCACCCCACTTCCCCCGTGCAGGTGCAGGTAACCCCAAGAGCGGGGGAGTGGCAGAGCGGGGGGTAGGTTGTTATAATTTAATATAGGCTTGGCAGGTTGTTATAACCTTTTCTCTCTCAACCCGAGCTACCACTGAAATCCTCCCAACCCCGCTTCCTCTCGTCTCCTACCCCAAGAGCGGGGGAGTGGCAGAGCCGGGTAATTATAAATTTAATATAGCCCGGGTTGTTACCCTCTACAGAAAAGGTTCAGTAACAACCTACCAAGCCTATATTAAATTATAACTTATATAATTTGAACACCCCCCTGTTTCCTTGACATGACTGTTGCAATGCTATCAACCCGGCCCATCGTGCAGGGAAGACCAAGCAGAAGAGAGCACCGGAGATGCAGGGTACGTGCACCGTTGACCGTTGCTGCTGTCAGACACCATGCAACTACAGCGCCCCTGCCCTTGCCCTCGCCCTGACGTGTGCAATGCATCTGCCCTGGTTTCCTTGTCACGTACGCTTGTGGTATGCACTGGCATGCCAGTGCATTATGTATCCCTATTATGCGCCTGTTGACAGTCTGACATTCACGTGCACCCTTTTGCCACAACTGCACACCATGGTACACCCTACCCTTTGTGTACAGCCCCCCCCCAGTCTGGCCTCGGTCCGCCGGTGGTGCAGCAGTTTCAGCTAGGCACAAGACGCATGGCGCCGACAGGTGGAGCCACCCTAACCTCGACCCTGCGCTACAATGACGCTGCCCCCAACACCGCCGCAGTGGTCCTCCCATCTTCCAGCGCTGGGCCACGCGCGCTACGTGCCGTCCATGAGAAGGCGTCGAAGAAGAAGTACGTCTCTAGGGCTGAGCTGGACCGTATGAAGACCGCGCTGCTGGCCACTGTCACGGCCTTCATCGACGGGCAGCGGGCGATGTACGCAGCTGGTCGGGTGGCGAATGGGAATGGCCCGGCGTCCACTGGACAGGGAAGCCAGGAGGAGCCGAGTCCAGCCACGTTGGCTCGCCGTGAGGTTCTCCTGGCGGCGGAGGACTTCAAGGTGAGCAGGATATGGGCTGGCAGGTGCGTGGCTTGGGTGGGTGCTCGGGTAGGACCCGGGCCTGGGACGGTTCTGTCAGAAGCCGATCGCGGTACGGTATTGGCCAGGGTAGCAGTGGCGGCATGCGTGTAACAGTGCTGTCGGTTGATAGCAGTGCTAGTGTCGGTACATTTGCTTGGCTTGGTAGCACCGCTTGGCTTGTTAGTAGTGTCTAGGCTTGGTAGCAATGCTTGTCTTGGCAGCACTGCCTGACTTGGCAGCAGTGCGTGGCTTGGTGGCACTGCTTGGCATGGTAAGAGTGCATGGCTTGGCAAGAGTGCATGGCTTGGCAAGAGTGCATGGCTTGGCAAGAGTGCATGGCTTGGCAAGAGTGCATGGCTGGGCAAGAGTGCATGGCTGGGCAAGAGTGCATGGCTTGGCAAGAGTGCATGGCTTGGCAAGAGTGCATGGCTTGGCAAGAGTGCATGGCTTGGCAAGAGTGCATGGCTTGGCAAGAGTGCATGGCTTGGCAAGAGTGCATGGCTTGGAAGCAGGGCGTGGCTTGGCAGCAGTGCGTAGCTAGGCAGCAGTGCGTAGCCTGGCAGCAGTGCCTAGCTTGGCAGCAGTACCAAGCAGTGCATGGCTTGGTAGCAGTGCATGGCTTGGCAGCAGTGCATGGCTTGGCAGCAGTGTGTGGCTTGGCAGCCGTGCGTGGCTGGGCAGCAGTGTGTAGCTGGGCAGCAGAGCGGGGCTTGGCAGCAGTGCCTAGCTAGGCAGCAGTGCCTAGCTAGGCAGCAGTGCCTAGCTTGGCAGCAGTGCCTAGCTTGGCAGCAGTGCGTGGCTTGGCAGCAGTGTGTGGCTTGACAGCAGTTCGTGGCTTGGCAGCAGTGCGTGGCTTGGCAGCAGTGCCTAGCTTGGCAGCAGTGCCTAGCTTGGCAGCAGTGCCTAGCTTGGCAGCAGTGCCTAGCTTGGCAGCAATGCCTAGCTTGGCAGCAGTGCCTAGCTTGGCAGCAGTGCGTGGCTTGGCAGCGGTGTGTGGCTTGGCAGCAGTGCGTGGCTTGGCAGCAGTGCGTGGCTTGGCAGCAGTGCGTGGCTTGGCGGCAGTGCGTGGCTTGGCAGCGGTGCGTGGCTTGGCAGCGGTGCGTGGCTTGGCGGCAGTGCGTGGCTTGGCAGCAGTGCGTGGCTTGGCAGCAGTGCGTGGCTTGGCAGCGGTGCGTGGCTTGGCAGCAGTGCGTGGCTTGGTAGCAGTGCGTGGCTTGGCAGCGGAGCGGGGCTTGGCAGCAGTGCGTGGCTTGGTAGCAGTGCGTAGCTTGGCAGCAGAGCGGGGCTTGGCAGCAGTGCCTAGCTAGGCAGCAATGCCTAGCTTGGCAGCAGCGCCTAGCTTGGGAGCAGTGCGTGGCTTGGCAGCGGTGCGTGGCTTGGCAGCAGTGAATGGCCGTGCAGGTGCAGTGCGTGGCTTGGCAGCAGTGCGTGGCTTGGCACCAGTGCGTGGCTTGGCAGCGGTGCGTGGCTTGGCAGCAGTGCGTGGCTTGGCACCAGTGGGTGGCTTGGCAGCAGTGCGTGGCTTGGCAGCAGTGCGTGGCTTGGCAGCGGTGCGTGGCTTGGCAGCAGTGCGTGGCTTGGCAGCAGTGGGTGGCTTGGCAGCTGTGCGTGGCTTGGTAGCAGTGCGTAGCTTGGCAGCAGAGCGGGGCTTGGCAGCAGTGCCTAGCTAGGCAGCAGTGCCTAGCTTGGCAGCAGTGCCTAGCTAGGCAGCAGTGCCTAGCTAGGCAGCAGTGCCTAGCTTGGCAGCAGTGCCTAGCTTGGCAGCAGTGCATGGCATGGCAGCCGTGCATCTCGCTCAACCCTAAACTCTCCCATCTCATCATGTCCTAAGCTCCCCTCCCCATCTGTGTCCCGTCCACCCCCAACCCCCTCCTATTCCCTCCCCACCCCCCTTCCTCGCTCCATATACCCCCCCCCCCATCCCCCCCCCCCCCCCCCCCCCCCCCCCCCCCCTCTACAAACCGTGATGCTGCAGGCCAAGTGCTACAACCTTGTAACGCGCATGTTCTGGCTCTGTGCTGCTGCAAAAATCCAGTTTTACCCCACGGTTAAAGAGATTCTGCGTTCATTCGGCGAGGACTTTGCGGCACACATCATCGAGTGCCTGAACCTGCTGTGGACAATGAACGACTCGACCACACGAGGCGTCTTCCACGACCAGATCTCCAACACACGTAGCACGATCGGGGGGATCTTGCGCAAGATCGTGTTGACCGCGCTGGGGCTGCATCGGAACCAAAAGTACGCCAGCAGCCTGCCGAGGGAGCTCACCTGCCCAACCGCCTGGTACACCGATGAACAGCTCGTCCGAGACAACACGGATGGTCAGTCCTTACTTTCATGCCATTCTCACCGTTTTTTTCATGCCATGGATCACATGCGCTGCCCCACACGCTAGCCGACCACTCCAACACCCCACCCCCCACCCCTCGAAACCCTCATGTCCTACTCCAAATTTCCGCCCACCTCCCCTCTGCTCCCCCCACGCCCTCGAATCCTGTCCCCCATCGTTGCCCTCTGCAGAGGTGTGGGGTCTGATCTGGCACGTCGATAAGCCGCGGATGTGGCCGTTCTCGACCCTGATCTTTGCTGTGGGGTTTCGCAGGGGATTCAAGCGGCGCCACGTCCAAATGAGCTGCTATAAGACCCGCCAGATCGCCTGGGGGCTGTACGCGGTGAGTGCACACTCGCCCTATCCCTAGCAATATCGCACGCCCAACAACCCTTCCATGTCTCCATCCTCCATAAACTCATCCCCCCCTTCCTCCCCCTTCACCCCCCCATCGTCATCTCCCCCCACAACCCTCGTTTGCCTATCTCTCCTGTCCTTTGTCGCCCCCCGAAATTCACGGCCACAGTTGGAGGCCACACTGCACAACTACAAAACCGCCGAGGGAAAGCTGAGCCAAGACAGTGAAGACAATCGCCGGGGGTACGAGGCCATGGTGTTGCACTGCCGCAGGTGGGTGGAGCACGCCGTGGACAACCTTGGTGTGCCGTACGACGACGAGGCCGAGGTTTTCGAGTTCGGCAATGGGGTGCGCATTGATGCGTCCGACTACCCCGAGCTCGTGGCACGCACCCTCGCCCGCATGAGGACGGGCGGCGCCCTTGCATGAGTGGCGGAGGCAGGTGGTGAGGCGTGGTGGAGGTGGGGCAGCTGGAGCAGAACGAGGGGGGGGGGAGAAGCCAACAATGGCAGGCATGCGTGGCGGCAGCAGAATAGACTTGGGCAGCAGAAGCGGCGGAGGCCAGGGCAGCAGCGGCGGCAAAGGCCAGGGCAGCAGCAGCGGCAGAGGCATGGGCAGCAGTGGCGGCAAAGGCCAGGGCAGCAGCGGCGGCAGAGGCATGGGCAGCAGCGGCGGCAGAGGCCAGGGCAGCAGCGGCGGCAGAGGCATGGGCAGCAACGGCGGCAGAGGCATGGGCAGCAACGGCGGCAGAGGCATGGGCAGCAGCGGCGGCAGAGGCATGGGCAGCAGCGGCGGCAGGGGCATGGGCAGCAGCGGCGGCAGAGGCATGGGCAGCAGCGGCGGCAGAGGCATGGGCAGCAACGGCGGCAGAGGCATGGGCAGCAACGGCGGCAGAGGCATGGGCAGCAGCGGCGGCAGAGGCATGGGCAGCAGCGGCGGCAGAGGCATGGGCAGCAGCTGCGAGGCATGGGCAGCAGCAGCGGCAGAGGCATGGGCAGCAGCAACGACAGGCATGGGCAGCAGCAGCAGCAGAGGCATGTGCAGCAGCAGCATGAGAGTCATGGGCAGCAGCAGCATGAGAGTCATGGGCAGCAGCAGCATGAGAGTCATGGGCAGCAGCAGCATGAGAGTCATGGGCAGCAGCAGCATGAGAGTCATGGGCAGCAGCAGCATGAGAGTCATGGGCAGCAGCAGCATGAGAGTCATAGGCAGCAGCAGCATGAGAGTAATGGGCAGCAGTAGCATGAGAGTAATGGGCAGCAGCAGCATGAGAGTAATGGGCAGCAGCAGCATGAGAGTAATGGGCAGCAGCAGCATGAGAGTAATGGGCAGCATGATAGTCATGGGCAGCAGTAGCATGGGGGAGCAGAAGGGGCTATGGCAAGGGATAAAGGGAGGATGAATGGAGGCACGGAATGGCCCAGGGATGGAAGCACATGCATGAGGATTGGACAAGTGCTGGAGTGAGGAGCATACTAAGGGATGATGGGTGGAAGCAGATGGTAGTGGCAGATGCATGGGAAAAGGGGCGCAGCAGAGGCATGGGTAGAGGGGAGCCTGAAAAATCATGGGAAGAGGAGCAGGGAAAACAAGGGAGGACGGGAGCAGGAGGGGCAGAAGGATGTAGCAAATGTGAGGGATGGATAATGTGGCATGTGTAGAGACGCCAGGAGGCAGCTAGGGCGGCAGGAGGTGCTAGGGCAGCATGAGGCAGCTAGGGCAGCATGAGGCAGTTGGGGCAGCATGAGACAGCTAGGGCAGCATGAGGCAGCTAGGTCAGCTTGAGACAGCTAGCAAGGGGAGGGAAGGGGGGGAAGCAGCAAGAGGAAGGTCGGGCAGGGGGGAGGGAGCTAGGGCAGCAGAAGCAGCTGGTGGCAGCATAAGCGCTAGGGCAGTAGTTGCAGCTGGGACAGCAGAAGCAGCAGGACAGCAAAAGTGGCTGGGGCAGGAGAAGCAGCTAGATTAGAAGTATATAGGGGCAGGAAAAATCAGCAAGGGGATCTAATATGTGACACCAGGCAATATTAGCGGTGGTAGTAGCAGGATCGGTGAAGGTGGCTGTATAGGTGTTTTAGGTGTGATTATGTAGGATTGTAACCAGGTTTTTTTAGTGCATTTATTAACAATTTAATATTCACATTTCGTGATTATATCATTGTAGCCAACAGCTAACTACATGGTACCGACCTAAACCGGCATTTACTGTTGCACATTGCCACGTCAGCTGCCAAATGTCGGTGGTCTCAATTAGGTGGCAACGAAGAAAGAGTGTTTCTAGTGTTTGAGTTATTTCAATTAAATAATGAACTAATCACACTCGAAACACTCACGCGCAACACTCTTTGGCGTCACACATTTTTCAGCCCGAAACAGTTACGAACCTTGGCGGAATACGCGTCGCGATTTTCGGCCCGAAGCTCGACACAGCCCCATGCGGGATGCAGTTGCCTCACTATTCCGAAAACAGCCCGAAACTCGGAATGCTTTTCCGCCAAGTTTCGGCCACTTCGGCTGACCTCAGCCCAAATTTCGGCGAGGTTAGGTGGGGATGTTTTGTGATGCAGTGCTGAACTGATTCGCCTCATCATGGCGAGGCTGTGAGGCTACAACTCCGCTACAGCGGCCGAGCTCTGCCCCAGTCCTGTACGCTGACAACAGGGCCATGATCCTCCTGTGTCAGGAGCCTCGACTCGAGGGCAGAGCGAAGCACATCCAGCTGCGGTACTTCCTCCTGCGCGAGCTACAGCAGCGTCGCCAGGCTCGCGTAGTACACTTGGCCTCTGGTGCCAACACAGCTGATATCTTTACGAAGGCGCTTGCGCCTAAAGATCATCAGCGGCACTGTGTACAGCTTGGTCTGGTTCCTGTAGTCTCTCACTTACTCGGGCCTTGACGTTGTACTGTCCTATATATATATTTGTACACTCAGACTGGACTTGTGTCCTCTCACAGTGGTTGGACTAGTAGTGCCGCCCTGTACTTGTTCTTGCCTTGTCTGTACTCCTTCTGACTGGTCTTTTAGACCCTTGTCTCAGAGGCTGGACTAGTAGTGCCACCCTGAGCTGCTTGCTTAGGAATTTCCCCTATGCAGTCTAGGGGGTGTGTCAAACATGTGTATTTGTTGTGTTTGTATAGACTGTATAGGGTCACCTCCTAGAGGGTACAACACTTAGGTATATTTGTGTGTACTATCTCTCTCTCACTATTCAATTTTCAATTCTGATAGACAGCAGCTGCGGCTGGAATGAGGGGTGGTGTAGAGGAGAGAGCGTGGCTTCAGCAAGGCACCGCGGTTGATGCTGACGCTGGCTGGCGTGTGGGCGGCGGCAGCGTTACAGCGTATTGGGAAGTAAGGCTTCCTAGATATTTTGACAGGGTTTATTTCGTGCATGGATAGTGGCCAATAAAACAGTGTCATTTTTGCCCTTCTGCAAACTTCATAGCACGGTTAGAAATGGCATGCTCTTTTTTTACACCAGAACTCGTCGACGTCGTATTTGAGACCGAAAGGATGAGTGAATGGAAAGGGAAGGGACGCGCAGGTACCTGCTTGAGATCCCCACCAATCTCATATGTATGCAATTGTCAGAGCATCACACCACTTGTCTCCCTTTATTAGTGTAGGTCATCCCCATCAATTATGACGTGCATCGCACATGCGCAAATTCGCGTAGATCCGTTTTCTGATGTAGCTAACATATTGATTCAAAACACCCAATGATAGAAATTGACCATTTAATATTTTTTGTGATTCAATTAACGAGAGGAATGTTCCTTTATGCATTTTTTCCACCTTGCCATATGTGTCACATGATACATTTTTACAAGAACGCATGCTACAATAATTCGTATACCAAACTCATCAAGTTCTGGTGTAGCCGACATCCTTTATCACGCTAACGTAAATGATGCTCGGAAGGTGAGAGAATCGAGCCCTTGAAAATTTCAGCCAGAGTTCGGGCGGGAAATGATTGTGGCGAATGTTCGAGGGGTGTCGGGATGTAACTTCGCCCTCGCCATTTCGCCCGCGGAAATAATTGGACAGTTTTCGCCCTAAAATGCCCAACCACAAATTTCCGACGCATTTCGGCCAGAACCGAGGCGCGGTTTGGCCAGGAACGTTTCCGACGGAACCCCAACCATGACGCAACCAAAAAAACACTTCGGCAAGCCTGTCGACGCGGAAACAAAAATCCAGGTTTTTCGTCCAGTGGACGCAAAATCGAATTCAGCCAAATGCTGTCATGAGCGACTCGAGCTGAGAAGAAAAGACGGGAAATCAACGAGCTTTGCGAAGGCACGAAAAATGTTTGGCGATCCTGGGCGAAAATTGCCAGGCGAAAACAAACAAAACCTCCACCTCAGTTCGCGTCAAGAGAAGGTTGACGGGTGAAATCGAAATAACAAAGCAGCATGCTACCACGAAACAAACAAACTAAAGTTACATTCTGGACGGAAATGAAGGTGAGGAAGTTCCAAGGTTGTTATGATTCAAGCATAATAGTAATGCGTAGTGCGATAAATAGGCTTGATACATGAATGTCAATACAAATGAAAGGCTAGGGAATTCATGCGAACAACAGAGCTAGCCGAGAACCACGCGAACGGGGTGGGGCGGTTCGATGGGCGAATGCTACGGAACAGCCCACGGTCGAGGTTGCCAAGCCTAGCCTTCCGAGAGTCAAGGGCTTATGCACTATAGTTGAGCCCAGTAAGGAAAAGGATCTTCAATTGAGAATCTTGGCCGGCATTGTTGTCGGCTCGGGTACATAGTTGACCGTTGGATTTAAACGTTGACAGTCGAGATCGGTCGAGTTCGTAACGGACAATCGTATGAGAATGATGTGGAATGAATATTGAATATGGTAGTTGTTGGGAACATGCAGCTGAGCGGTGATGGGTTTCACCATTCCAACTATAAGGAAGTTTGGTCGAAGTTTATTTGGGAGTAGTAATCCCAAATTCCTCATCGAGCAGGACCAGTTGCCCACGTACCGTATATCATAACTCAATCATTCTGGAAACCCAATGCACCACAAAGTCACCTAGATGAAATCGGGGATGACGTCGCATGGTTGGGGTCGCGATCAGCGGCTCGTCTGAATTGACCACCTCTGATTCGGTGCGACAACTTTGTTTTCGCAAGTTGCTGCCTTAGCGTGTCGCATGTTGTCGATGTGACAATGAGTGCGTCAAGAGGACGTCAAATTCGGACTCCTGTCTGGCAGGCTCGTATGTTCCAGAATGAACCAAGTGATTTTAACGGGACGCACCCTTTTGTGAGCCGTAATACTAGAGGGTTTGGCGAAATTGTTCATCAATTCCGCGAAACCGGTAACCCACCAAAATTTGCGTACCCTTTTCCCGGCACGTTCCATAACTCACGCGCCCTAACCACTATGTTAATAGGGT